CGCGCCTGCTCCCTGGTGGTCAGTGTGTGTCATAGCAACCAGTTGTTCCGCCATTCAGCTGATTTGCATATTAGTCTTTTATTATATAGGATTTGGGGTAAGGGCATGCGCGTGCGCATGCACACACACACACACACACACACACACACAGAGAGAGAGAGAGAGAGAGAGAAAGAGAGAGAGAGAGAGAGAGAGAGAGAGAGAGAGGAGGTAGGTAAGTAGGTATGTGTGAAGGGCTTGAAAAAAGTAATCCTCTTTTTTCCTAGGTAGTAGTCATTTGGTCTTTGGTAGGAAAAGTGTGGTAGCTAATGAAGGGAAAGAAGGGGAAAAGTGAAGAAAATAGGAGTCAAAAAGCGAGAAGCTGCCCTGGCTGGTGTGGCTCAGTTGGTTGGAATATTGTCCTCACATAGTGAAAGGTGGCGGTTTAGATTCTGATCTGGATACCTACCCAGGTTGTGAATTTAATTCTGGTCTGGCTGGGTACAGGAGGCAACCAATCGATGTCTGTCTGTCTGTCTCTCTCTCCCTCCATCCCTTCCTTTCTCTAAACCAATTAAAAAAAAAAAAGATTTTTTTTTTTAAAAAAGGAGAAGTTATGAAATCCTGGAGGCTTTTCCACATCCAAAAACACAGAGGAGAGTATAAGTAACATCTACAAAATAATGAAAAAAAGACTTGGTTTTTAACCTATAGTTGCTAATAAATACCCTTTTTTGGGGGGGAGGGGAGAAATGAGGAAATCTCTGTAAACGTTTTTGAGTCAAACATTTTAAAAGTTAAGAATTCTAGATTGGACAATCACATATAGTTCTATCTCCATCCAAACTCTATCTCATTGTCCTCTTCCTAAGTACAGGCATTCTTTAAGGCCCATCACTTTCCATCTATTAGCTCTTTTCTACTTCAGTGAGCTTGTTAACTGTCACAGCTATGTCTGTGTGAATGAAGAAGCCTCCTTGTACTCTGTTATAGTCCTGTTTTCTACTCTACAATTTTGTCCTTTTTGTGGGTGCTTCTATGGGGATTTCACAACTAGTCCAGTTTGTTTGTATTTGTTTTTTGCACGCAATTACTACCTACTAACCATCTGTCTGTCTATGGCAATTAGTAAGAAAATTGAGACAATAAGTGTGGACTCAAACTGCAGTAAAAGAATGCAAAAAGGATGACATTTTGGAGGACAGAAATAGCAGAGCAACTGAACTATTCAAGATCAGGAGAGTGCATGTGCTCTTAAATATAGAGAATAAAGAGTGTAGAAGAGACTGAAAATAAAAAAGCTAGTATTTATTTACTAAATATGTGTGCTAGACTTGAGAGTAGGAAGATAATTAAGAATAAGGAGGGCCATAATATTGAGTGGAACTAGCTTTGGACAAGAGGCAGAATTCTTGGGAAGAATAAGAGATAGACTGTTACTTCAGAGACATGATTCAAAACAACATGCCAACAAGTTCCAGAAGTTTGTAGAAAAGTTAATTTATGATAAGGATTTCTTCAACCAATTGCAGAGGCCATGAAACTATTCATCAAAAAGCCACTTAGTAGTTTATCAGGAAATATTAAGAATGTTTTGATGGTGTATCAGTCATTATGCGCTCCATAACCAAACATTTAATGCATGCACAATTTAAAGAAAAGTAAAATGATTTTCAAATAGATATCAATAAACCAACCAACACAGATGTCAATCAACTAAAAGGTTAAGCAAATTTATTTAACTAAATTTTGCTGCAAAATTTTTCATTAAAATTTTCATGAAAAGACAAACTGGATAAATTCAACCACAACTAATCATCTGACAAAACCTGAAGTTTCCCTTAATCTGAAATGTCTAGTCTTCCAAATATAGAATTCCAAAAATTAATGATAAAAGAAACAGGTAAGAAACTTTCTCATTTGTTTGGTGTGGTGGGGGGTGGGGGGGCATATATGTTTGTTCAAACTGTGTAGTTTGAAAACTGAAGATGAATTTGAGAGCCACAATCAATGTGTTAACTAGAGAAAAGAGATAAAATAACTCCTTTGTTAACTAGACCTGCTCTTATAGTGATGTAATAAAAAAATACCAGTCACAAGGTAGAAGGGACTCTTCCTACTTTGTTAGGTTTGAGGGAGCTCAACCCTGCAGATCCCCAGAAAGGAAACATTAAGAGTCAGACTTTCTTTGTGTGTATAAGTCCTCTTATATATATGAAAACTGGCAATGATGATCTACATAGTTAAGCTGTTATTTCTCTCCAGTCATAAAGGTTTAAATGATTTTAACTATGGTGTGCTCATTTCATTTGTGTACTTTTTTGAGCAGTAATTCAAATGCTAGGATGATACACCTTGATCTCACACGTTACTGAACTTTTTTTTTTTTTTAGTTAAACAAGAAACCTCCTCAAAACTGCTTTTCGCCTCCCCTAACAATTTCAAAGTCCCTACGAAATCCCCAATCAACTTACAAATGCTGACTATATCCCATACTCATTCAGAAAAGTAAATACTAATTAGAAGATCAGACAAATAGGTAACAAATATTACAAGGCTTACTCTTTTTTAAAATTGAAATTCTTTATTGTTTAAAGTATTACATAAGTCTCCATTCCCCCCTCCCCATTGACCTCTCCCCAGCCGCCCTCACACCCCTAGTCTGTGTCCATTGGTTTTGCTCATATGCATGCATACAAGTCACAAGGCTTAGTCTTACTCCTGCTGCTTGGTGATATTGGCAATGTTTTACATGATGACAAAATGTATCTGTAAAATCCATAACTACTTTGCCTCAGAACTGCCCAAGAGGGAGCATCACAACTTACATTAGTCACTCCAAAATGCATGAATGTGTTTAGTGCACTACATTTACAGTGGTGATATATTTTAGAAATTATATGTGGCAATGTTAGTATTTTAAAAATTCTGGTGATTACAAGAATAAGCTTTATAAATTAAAATTCTTATACTCAGCATTCCATTTCTGATGAAGTTGAATAAACATAGCATTACTATGAGATGAGTTCTTCTATCCAACTAATAATTTTTGAGTATTTAAAATAAAACTGCTAATATTTTGAATTTTGGGGAAATCAGTCTGTTTTTCTGTATCCATTTATACCATGACTTTACACATCTCACCCTGGCATGGCCTATGTTGTTAGCTTTATTTCTTATTTTCATTGTCTTTCCGTGGAGTCAATTCATTTTTATAATCAGAATTTTGGAGCTAGATGGGTCCCTGAATATCCTTTACTCCTACTAATATATTTTTTTAAGTGTGGAAACTCCAAACTAATGCCTTGGCCAATGTCCACAACTAGTTAGAGACTGGAAACTAACACTAGGTCTGACTCACTTCTTTTCATATGGAATACTTGTTGGGGAAGGTCATCAAGAAGATATGGCCACATGTTGGACCTTCAACCTGGACACAATTGGAGGCTCCTCCCCTGCCCTCCCCTTGTGAATTGGAATGTGCACTATGTTTGCTTTCCCTGGTCCTAGAAGCTGCTCCAAAGATACAGCCTTAAGAAAGAAATGTGGTGTTGAGATTATCTGGACGGAGCATGTGACTGACCCCAGTTATGGCCCCCTAAGTATGTGACTAAACCTAGTTAGGGCCTCTATAAAACCTTTTAAGATTTGGCAAATGGGTGCTGAGATCTACTTGTCTTGTCACCCAACACAAGTTTGGTAAGTTGCATTGCTTATTTAACCTGCCACCTACCAATTTGAAGGCCACCCATGAATTTTCTCAAGCTCTTCCTGTAGTGCATTTCCACCGATTTAGCACTTCAGTACCTAGAAGAGTACAGCTTGCTTATCTAGAAAACGTGTTCTTCTGGACTGCTTATAAACTACTAAAGAATAATTCTGACATCAACTTAAATATGAACAGCTCTACCTCTCACTTATTTACAGAATAATCCATTTATTTATATCGAGATTTTCTCAAGTTCATTGTCTTATAAAGAAACCTTTTTATAGCCATCTTCACTCAGAAGAACACAACAGAAAACAGGGATAGCCACAGGAAAGGTTTACAGTTTAATTTTTAAAAAATGGAAGGGCACTGCAAATTAGAGCAGTTTATGAGTTTCACTTTATGATCTGATTCATATCCTACATATAAGTTAAGTTCCTATCTTGCCCTGGCTGGTGTGGCTCAGTTGGTTGAAGCATCGTACCATGCACTGAAGACTGCAGGTTTGATTACCAGTTGGGGGCACGTATGTTTTTCTCTCACATCGATATTTCTCTCTCTCCCTTCCTTACTCTAAAATAAATGAACGTGTCCTCATGTGAGGATTAAAAGAATTCCTATCTTACGTCAATTTATCCTTGCCATTGTAAATTATAATAAAATACGCTAAAATGCAAAAAGTTCTATATTAAAGCTTATAATAATTTGAGAAAAATATTGGAAGGCACCTCATCACTTCAGTTGGTTGAGATATTGTGCCTACTATGTGGCTCTGGATAAGGCTGGCTAGAAGAAATGCCTAAGACATAGAAAGGCAGGTAAGCAAATGAACTGATCATATTTATGTGAATCACTATTTTATAACAGGAAAACTGATTTAAAATTCACTGCTACAAAGATCATAGAATCTGCTAATTATCATAAATAATGAACTCTCATTTAAGCACTTTTCCATTCTTCTGGCCTAGCCGGTAATCCACTCTTCCTCCTTATCTCTCCATAAAGCTGCCATTCTTTCAGATAACCCAGCTAAGTTGTAGAGCAATAAACTCTTCAAATTAAACCATACTAATATAAATAATTGATAATTATTTTTTAAAAAAATATTTTATTGATTTTTTTACAGAGAGGGGTAGAGTTAGAAACATCAATGGGAGAAAAACATTGATCAGCTGCCTCCTGCACACCTCCTATTGGGGATGTGTCTGCAACTAAGGTATATGCCCTCGACCGGAATTGAACCTGGGAACTTCTAGTCTGCAGGCCGATGCTCTATCCACTGAGCCAAACCAGTTAGGGCAATAATTGGGAATTTTTACTCACCCCTGGCCACCCTTGTCCTGGCCTAAGCTTACCAGGCTTGTTAAAATAATTTGTTGGTAAAATTTCGTACCAATTTGGGTAGAAAATTGGGATCGGGGATGTTTGTGGTGAGGTTAATTGGAGATACACCTTTAAACATACAAAACAATCTATTTCCCAATATATTTCAGCCTTGGAACAGGCAAGAAATTGGTGAACAAAAAGAAATATTTTGGTGAATAAAAAGAAATATTGATCCCTGTTGGGATTTCCTGATTCTATCTACTTTCTAAGGCTTGATTCAGTTATGTTTACTTTGAAATCAAATGACTGGAGGAAAGGGGGTGTGCAAAGGTATGATCTGGTCTCCAATGTCTGGATGCAGATAATACTGTCAATCCAGGCTCCTAGAACACTGAAGCCCAGGGCTGGAAAATGAAAGGTATGACAGTCTCATGAGTTGTGGAACTAGGATGTCAGAAGGTTCTCAAAGTTTTCTGTCTCTTATCTGTCATCTTTGTTCTTCCAGGAATACTTCTTTTGATTATATGAAAGTAATACCAATTACTATTTATGGCTAATTACTCATGACACAGTAACAAACAGCTAATTGCAGTTAGCATTGTTCTAAAGCTTTACTTTAATACAATATTGTATTTTTCTCAAGTTTTTACTCTTTTTAAAAAATATATATATATTTTTTTGTTGATTTTAGAGAGGAAGGGAGAGGGAGAGAAACATCAATGATGAGAGAGAATCATTGATCGGCTGCCCCTGTACACCCCGCACTGGGAATCAAGCCAGCAACCTGGACGTGTACCTATGACTGGAATCGAACCCAGGACCCTTCAGTCCGTAGGCCGACACTCTCTCTACTGAGCCAAACTGGTTAGGGCTCAAGTGTTTACTCTTCACAGTTCTGTTCATTGGCAAGGTTTACCTTACTAAAAGAAGCTAGACACAAAAAGTAACATCTAACATGACTCCACTTATATGAAAATGACTAATAAATCAAATGTAATTATAGTAGTCCCCCTTTATCCGCAGGGGATACGTTCTATGACCCCCAGTGGATGCCTAAAATTGAGGATAGTATCGAACCTTATATATGTTTTTTTCCCCTATATATATGTATACTTGACTAAGCAGCAGACTAGTCAATCAATCAATCATTTATTTATTGCTTATTAATAGTCCCAATACATGTGAATATTTTTCTCTTATCATATATACCTATGATAAGATTTAATTTATAAATTAGGCACAGTAAGAGATTAACAACAATAAAATAGAACAATTATTAAAACATACTATAATAAAAGTTATGTGAATGTGCATGCGCTAGCTCTCTCTCAAAATAGCTTATTGGACTGTACTTATCCTTCTTGTGATGATATAAGATGATACAATGTGATGGGAGGAAGTGAGGTGAATCACCTTGCTCTACAAGAGGCCAAGAGTGTCCAACCTAACATTCTGCCAACTTGAAGTAATATTATTTACATTATTAACATTATCCAGCTTTCTCCTGATCCAGAGATCAATGTTTTGAAAACAACTTATTCTACTGTTAAACAATTGAATACTTCATTGAATCTTAATAGCTTTATTCAATCTCTATTTGTGCCGGGTGCTGAAGTATTTATACTTCAAATGTGTACTGCTCTAATTTTTGCAACTATTTTCAATTTTACAACCTGGAGAAAAAATATGTCTACTCCTTTCTTTAGAATACTCCTTTCTTTGAGGTATTTTTAGACAGCTTTTGGGAGTCCCTTATAAGTCTTCATTTTTTCCAGGCTCTATATTCAATTCTGCCATTCATTAATATTCTTCTTAAAATTGCATAGCCAGAACCAAAAACAACATTTCAAATGATTTCTAATCAGACCTAAACAGTCTAAATTAATAGTCCCAATACATGTGAATATTTTTCTCTTATAAATGTAGTTTAAGACCACATCAGCATTGTTAGTAGTTATGTAATACTGACAGCTTAAGATTACAGAAAACAGAATCATTCAAGTCTATTTTACCAGCAATTCAGGTCTTCCAAATTTACAGCTTAAGCAATGCATTTGTCCACATTCAATTTAAATATGGGCTAAAAGTACACCTTAGAATAAAGGAAATGTATCTAGTTCATCAGAGAAAGCTCCCTGTCTCTATTTTTAGCTTGACTAAGCAGCAGACTAGTCAATCAATCAATCATTTATTTATTGCTTATTTTATCTATGGGAAATTGTACTCTTCTAATATTCAATTCTGAAGAAAGTCACATCTTTAGAGGCAGTGTGGTTGATTAAATGAATCACGTAAGGTCTTAATCAGAGAGAAAAGAAGAGAGAACATAGACGTGGTGAAGAAACAGTGTTTATCCCTGAATCTTTTAGAAACCAGCAATGCAAAAACTCAAGTTTTCCTTTGAACATCTGTTTTCTCAGCAGCAGCAGTGGTGCCAAGCTATAGAGAGGATGGAAATTTCTCTATATCATTTATATCAGTTTTAAGAAAGAGTATAGCACTCTAGTTCTCCCCATTTTTAAGATATCTCAATTTAAAAAACACAGCCACCAATTTGTTTCTAGGTTTATAAAACTTGATATAAACCCTTGGGAAGCAAGAAATGCTACATGTTCTAAGTTTCAGATACAAACCTGAAGATCATATTAGTGAAATCTCTATAACTTGTCATATGCCAAGATTTATTATAATCGGCTAAAAATCTGAGAAGCTAAGCCCATTCAAAAAATTTTATCTAACATACAAGTAGTGGTCTAATAAGTGGTTAGAAAGGCTCTTTCCCACCTGCATAAGTACTTAGCATGTTCATTTTTGTCCTACAGATTTTAATCAAGATTGTCACTTCACATCCATGTATAGTTTTCCCAGAAATGGTGAAAGAGCTAAATGTTTGAAATTACCTTGAGTGGTGAAGTTGAAGAGTGCAGGGGTGTCTCGTCCATTTGGTAGTTTGACATTTGGGTCCCGTAATTCATCAAAAAATGAATGTGCACAAGCTTCCAGTGGTGTCAATCGGGCAGTTGGTGTATACTCCAACAGACGGCTACACAGTGCAATTGCCTCTGGTGGAGTTCGGGGTCGGAAGACCTGCAGTACAAAAAAGGGAAAGAACAATTAATGTTTTTTAAGAATCTTATCAATTTATCCCAAGTACTGAGAATTCTTACCACATACAAAAACATGGTTGCATTTGTGAAAATAACCTTCTAGAATGAAAAGAGTTAACTTCATATAATTCACCACACTGTGGTGAACTGCTAATTAAAGACTATATGAGAAAAGCTCAGAGAAAAAACTAGGAGAAGTGGGAAAAAAATCTATATATGCTAATCATAAAGCAGAACAATCTAACATGCACACAAAAAATGACAGGCACAAGAGAAAGGATGAGTTCTGGAGGCAAAAACATGAAGAATATAAAAAAATTTTTAAAGAATATAAAATTTTTTAAAAGTTTTGACTGCAGTGGCAGTAGATAAAAGTTTGCTTCTTTTATGTGATTTGGAGTAGAACAACTATTGATAATGGAGAGAGCACTTTTCAAATCTGGCAATCAATATCTTTTAAAAAAGAAAAGCTATTTACTCTAAGTCTATAAATGTCAATGATTTTATCTTGTTAATAAATAGAACCTATCAGTATTTGAAGAAATTCCTGAATATCCAGAATTTGACAAAATTTCCAAAACCTGTTTTCTCAAGCAGCTGTTTCTCATGAACATGGCCAGATTACCCTCATTTGTATGAATACTCTAAGGTTTTTTTAATCATGAAGAGAGAAATGTAGTTTTCATCAAGAGCCAGCCATTAACTCACAGAAAAAGTCAATTGAAGCAAAATGCAAATAAATTAATTTGCTTAAAGGAATAGAAAGCTTTCTACTTACCTATGTCTTAAAATCCCTAATTAATACATAAAACTATGAAAATATACTTTGTTTTAAATTATGGACAGTTAAAGAATACAAACAGAAGGGGAAAATAAAGCTTAAAAAAAAAAAAAAAAGGAAACACTGGCCCTGGCCGGGTAGCTCAGTTGGTGGTTAGAGCTTTGTCCTAATGCACCAAGGTTGGAAGTTCAATCCCCAGTCAGGACACATACAAGAAAGAACCAATGAATTCCATCAATAAGTGGAACAGACTGTTCCTCTCTAAATCAATAAATTTTAAAAGTCTGCTAAAAAAAATGAAACATGTATCTCTTGACAGGAAGAACATAGACTCAAACAGAAGGTGTGGTAGTAGCAGTGGGGGAATTAACAGACATAAAAAGAAGCAGAAGTTGCCCAAACCGTTTTAGCTCAGTGGATAGAGCATCGGCCTGCAGACTCAAGGGTCCCAGGTTTGATTCCGGTCAAGGGCATGTACCTTGGTTGCGGGCACATTCCCAGTAGGGGGTGTGCAGGAGGCAGCTGATTGACGTTTCTCTCTCATCAATGTTTCTAACTCTCTATCCCTCTCCCTTCTTCTCTGTAATAAAATATATTTAAAAAAAAGAAAAGAAGCAGAAGTGCCCTGGCCAATGTTTCTCAGTGGTTGGAGCATCAGTCCTCGAGCCAGCGGGTCACAAGTTTAATTCCTGGTCAAGGGCATCGTAACTGGGTTGCAGGCTCAATCATCAGCCCCAGTCGGGATGTGTGCAGGAGGCAACCAATTGAAGTGTTTCTGTCACATCAATGTCTCTCTCTCTCCTCCCTCTCTCTCTAAAACACAAAAGAAACGGTTATTCTTAGATGAAGATTTAAAAAAATGCAGAAATGTATAAATGGAGAGAAACAGACCCACAAATGAGCAAAGGATATGCAGATTGTGACATGGCATAGAGGAGCCTGGGAGGCTAAGGTTTCCTAATGAGAATGGTTCATGTAACTCTGGGCATTCACTTAGACTAAAGGTAGGAGAACTAATTACTATTACAGGGCTCATTAGATTTCAAGAGATTGAAAAAAAAGTACTTTGTACAGAGTAAACCTTTTTTTTTCTTGTTTTACAAAAAGTTTATTATTGATAAATATATTTTCCATGGAAACTGAGAAACTGATTTAAGCAGGATCTCATGGATTTATTTTAGAATATTGAAGGCCTTGGTAATTTATTTATTTGGCTGTGTTAGAAAACCCTCTGTAAGGTAAAAAACAACCTGCTTCATCTTTTATTCTTTTGAGTGACCTGACTTGCCTCAGTCAAGAAAACCCAACGTTACTGTATTATTTGAAACGTTTAGATTTTCTACTGTTCTTGGTCATTTTTTCCCTCATGTGCTCCCAGCCAGGACCATAATCAAACTAACATGTAAAAGAAAATAGTCAGTAGGAAAATTTTTAATAAAAATATTAAGCACTACTGACATATTTTATCCTAGTACAGTTTATACTTATTTGACAGCATATGGATTTATTTTGCTAGCTAGTATAATAAAAAATGCTTCTGCACCAATATGGGAGGCAGATAAGTAGAATTAAAAGTAGAAATAAGTATCTCCTGCTAACATTCAAATGTCGGGTAGCTGGACAGTGAGTGTATTTTAAAAAATTTCCTGTTTTGTTAATGAAGATTTTGTAAAGCTATTAGTAAATCACTACTGTAACCTTTTCTCCGATTATTAAAAAAGAGCCATCCACATCTTTCCGGTAACTTACAGGCTATACAGGACCATCCATGTTAGCACTAGGACACATATTAGCCTACTTTGCCAGAGAATCCTAACTCATGGAATCAGATTTTAAAAAAATAAAGGCATTAATTCCAAGAACCTACATTAAAATCAAGACTTAACCTGCCTTTAAAAAAACTATCCATTATTACTTAAAGCCCTTTGAAAGATTCCTGATGAGAAAACCTTTGGTTCATTACCTTATAAAGGTTAAGTAGACATTTATGTGAGGTCAAAAACCAGTGTCTCCTAAAGTTCAGATTTTTAACTGTAATATAGGATGTGGTAGCAAGCAACTTCCAAAAATTGCAGTCTAAACTAGAAAACAACTCTTCTGAATTATCTTTGTTTCTAAAGGAAAGGACACCAGTAACTACTGAAATCTGACTTTTAATAAATAAGTTTCTGCTTCATTCTTCACTTATTTCAATTGCTTAACATTCAGAACCTTTGGTTCCATGGACCTTCGTCAATATTTATTCTTGTAAAAACCATTTTCAAACCCCCTAATTCCTAAACTTTAGTCTAGATGTCAATAAATCACTCAGAAGACTGACAATCTATACCATAAGCAAAACCTGTATCATATAGTGAATGAAAACAGAAATCAGAGCTACCTACATTGTTTTTACTGTTACATTCCAAGAATGAATAATTGTTTAGCCTTTCAAAAAGTTTTCCCCCTAGTTTTATAAACCTGCCCTGAAATTTTGGGAAAAAAAAATTAAGTACATACCCGCACTCCTGAGTTGAAATGTCCTGTTCCTGATGAATCCTAAAGATGATAATGCAGTGAAATAATCCAAACAGGGGAAGTCAATCCAAAAGAGAATAGTCCAGCAAGGAAAAATATATCCAATGTTATAAGAAATCCATGGTGTGGGAGGGGGACATAGAAAATGTTTATACAGTTATAAACTTTAAACATCAGTCTCCACAGTAGCAAGTCCAAGTTTTAAAAATTATTTCACCACAGTGTATGCAAAAAAATTTTTTTGATTGCGCAATGGTGAGGCACAGTAAAGAAACATTTTAATTTATATTATGTTCCAATGCCAGTGCATTTATTAAAAAAATACAAAACCAAAAAAAGTTAAAATCAAAATGAAATCTAGAAGTAACGTTCCCAAAGTAAAGTGCTTGGTCTTCTATGACCTGGATTCATCATCCATTGACATGGCTGGGAGGGGGCATTTAAGATTGCTTTTAAAGATATGTTCCCAATATGCTAATTTTCCTCTATTAACATATTCCAGTTATACAGTATAAACATTTTTCTTGCTAAATTATTAGTGATGAGAAGTAATATATTTAATTTGTATTACTATAGATTTCAAGCCAAATATTTCCAATTTGTGTGAGCTAAGAAGGATCAGGCCACCGCGGATTATTCTCCATTTTGGATTGACTTCCCTGCTAAAAGATATTTGCTGACATTCTCATTATCTTAGGACTCTTCAGGAATAGACATTATCACCTCAGGAGTGCGGGTATAAACTTACATTTTCTATTGTGGGCTTTGCCCCCTCATACCCTTGCACCCATTACTTAGGAAAAATAAATATATAACATTCTTTCCTTTTTGGAAAAACTCACTGGAAAAAAAAATCCTACATCTTTGAGCACTACAAATTCAACACAGTTCCATCTGCAAATATGCCCAATTCACCCACCAAAAGCTAAACAAAAATATATACAATAAACAATACAACTAAGGGACAGTCACAGTTATAGGTGACATGCATAATAATGTACACCAACACCTAGGCACAAAGGAGCCAAATATGCAAGGGAGGTGGTAGGGTCTATTATGTCTAGGTATTGAGAACAAACAATGGCAGAACTCACCAGTAGCTGTGAATTCCCTTGGCTATTCTAAGAGAATTTAACATTCTTTTAGGATAGTTTCCAGTGGGCGAATTAAATATTTTGCAAAAATAAATAATCCGCGGATTACTTTTAGTCTGCAGACTAAAATTTAGTACACGGATTAAAATCCGGCCCATCAGAATAGAAATCTCTCATGAACTAAAACACAACTAGGTGGACAAAAGTAGAAAACCAGACTAAAAAAACTGAGAGCACAAAGTAAGACTCAACTGGGCCAACTAACAATTAGTACGCAGACTAAATATGGCCAGCCAAGTATGTTAGCAAGGCCATGAAGAGCCCAAAACACCCTGTAATAACTAAAAACAGAAGTAAATAAAGAAAACAAAACAGAACAAAGCAAATAAATAAATAATTGAAAGAAAAGAAAAAGAAAAAATTGAAAGGAATCAAAACACTGACATGAACTTTCAAGTGATTCAAATACTACCTCACCTGTGCAGCAACACATTTTCTTAAATTGAAACAAACTCTCATCACAAATACTAATCCATAGAAGAAATTAACAGAAAAAATTAAGTTTTTCAAAAAGGAAGTCTCAGTGATATTGAACAAATGCAAATGAGTACTTAAATAAAGAATTATTCAAAATAAATTTGCATTAGGATAACTCAAAAATGATAGAGGCAATTTTCCTTTATATGTCCTAGAATACACTTCTGCCATTAAATATCAAATTTCAACCTGGAGCTAAATGTTATGATTGAATCTTGAGCACTTTAAAATTACCATTTATAAACAGTCATATATACTATACCAAAGCCTACTGTTGATTCTCAGAGCATTAACTCTCAATAATTCTACTGCATTAAACAGCCAACCAAAGCCATGTAAAAATGCCTATGGGCAATGATAATCTAAGTAGAACACAGGACTAGTGCCATGCCTATTCTGACCAGCTACTCCTCCCTAGTTTTGATTGTGATAAATGCACAACACAGACACTGTTCTCTGATTATACACAAAATACACAGGAACCTAATGTTAAAAATGGATAAATTCTGAACATTCCTAAAGGGCAACCCAAGTATTGGCTCTCAAGTAATTTATTAATCAGTTAAAATTATTTGCAATTTGTAAATGTAAATATAGGATTAAAAGTGAGAGAATGGCATGGATTTTTTTGAACAGTTAATTATGATGATTAACCAAGCTAATTAATTAAGATAAAAATTTAAATCTACTTAAGTGCTCACATATAGTACATAATTCATAAGAAACATAAACATCCTTTCCTTAGCCATGACAGAGCTAACATTCAATAAATTTCACCTGTGCTAACTAAAAGACTTATTGAGCTTTCTTGCATTCTATGTATGTTTTGATATCAGCATTTAACTATGCTATGTAATTTCTCTCTCTAACATCATTCACTGATCAGTATTACTACAGGCTTACACAGAATTGTGATTTACCAAATGTCCACTTATCCAATTTAATTGCTCATTGTTCATGAAATTATTATTGTAGTCAGGCTGACCTTCCTAAGAATAGGGACTTATTTTTCATTCACACTTCCTCATCTTAAAGGATAGTCCCTTAGGCTACAACAATTCTAACCTAAGTACATCTAAGGAAATCCAAATCCTCCTTCAACAGCCCGCTTTCCTGGGTCCTTCCATCACCTTTTTCCCTCTACCACCCTTGATGTCTTATAAAGCCTGCAACATGGGAAACATCTTTGAACACCTAGAACATACAATCAAGTATATGGTTATATATTCATGTATATTTATTTGATACTTGCTTCAACTGAGTCAGCTGTGTCACCTGTAACCTTTTCAAGGACAAGGACTACATATTTTACATCTTTTGCATTCTTTATGGCATCCAGCACAGCACTGGGTTACAAAGGATATATGGGTTTTAAAAAAACAAATGATAAATTAAAAAATATTCTTATTTTTTATATTATTTCTCTCCCATATTGATTGACTACTCTAGGAAGCCTAGTTACCAGCAAAGAAATGGCAGCATAGCCAGTGTAAATAGAAAAATGAAGATGTCTACTCACATAGGAAACAATATTAGAAAAAGAAAAGTGATTATTCCAGCACTAGTAAAGATATACGTAGCAAATGTAATGGAAAACAGTGTACTTATGAGAAAAGTGATAATGGATAGTAGAATGTTCAGGGCGGAAGGGGTTAAATAATAATATAGGAAATGATTCACCTAATCAATAGAATAAAACAGACAAGTGGCAATCATAGAAACAAACAGAAATCCCCAACATAGTTTTATGCTTTCTGGAATACAAGTGAGCAAAATGATTGGGGTAAAGAGGCTAGAAGAGCTAGATGAAGTGGACCTGCAAAGAAGTTTCTAAAGGCAATTTTTGTTTTGTGCTCTCCATGCCCTGCCTGGAAGTATTTTTGGTAACATGTTAACAGGGAAGCTTACTAAGTGAAAAATATTGCACTGAAAGGCTCAAAAAAAAAAAAATGTAAGATTATGAAGTCTTTAAAAAGTTAAATATAGCTTTAAGCATAGAGAGTAATTAAGTATAATTGTTTAGTCCAGTCTGATTCCTTGATAGCTGAAATGACCTCAGAACCCAATAATCTGCTTACTCTGTTAGCTACATGGAAATGCCAGTATTCATTCATTTTAAAACATATGTACAATGTTCTAAGAAATCAAGTATGCAAGGACTGATTTTTGTGGATAATGCATTCTGGGATACTTAATAAAAATGACCTATGGTTCCACATATCCTACAGACACTGAACTATTAAGGAAGGTATCTTGTATGCCAAAAACAGCAAAAAACATTTTTAGGTAATTGGACCCATTTTGTTATTACCATTTTAAAAGAGAAATTTGTAAATGCTATAATACATATAGTATAACTTGGTACATATAATCATGGAGAGCTTAAATAATCAGAAAATATTTCACGGGAGAAGTGAAATTTCAGGTCTTGAGAAGAGATTAAAACTTAGTAAGCAGAGAAAAACGTTCTAAATATGGAAGAAAAGAAAAGACAATAGCAGGAGGCAGAAATGATTGTGGCTTCTCTGGGATACAATTAAGGAGACCAGTTTGATTGGACACAAAAATTCAGCACGATTGCATGCTCCCTTCAAATTGAGCTAAAAGCTAACATATTAAACAGCCCTAATCCAATTGAAAGAGATCAGGGCCCTTGGGATTCTAATTTACTTCCTTTCACTAAACAGTCATATCACTTATGAATTTCATTAATCTGAAAGAATATACAGATATCTGTGTTACCTAACTGATTTCATGTCATAGGTTTATTTACTACTGGGATAAAGAGGGAATACTTTTCTTAAATAACTTAGACAAAAGTTAACAGAATTGGGCACTCAAAATGGGAGGGGGGACGACTCATATCAATTATACTATAACCTTATTAGAAATCGCTAACCTACCCTAACTATTAAGTTAATTGCCTAAATATATGCATTTAAGGGTGAAGGAGCTAGAAAGCTTGAGAAAAAGACTGGGTTCTATCAAGTTGATGCTTCAGGGAAGGTTAAGAGCAGGACAAGAATTAAATATCCTATTATTTTGGACAGGAAAGGTAGAAATGATTAGGAGCAGAGTAAATGTATACTTGTCATCCAAACTGGAACACTTGAGAGTAAAGGGGCATGCACTTAATAATTACATTGACAAGCATAAATTGGGTATTATGTTCACTTGTCATTATATCTATATTTTGTCAAATTTTCCTAAAGGCAATGAGGAATCAGAGAAGAATTTTAAACAGAAATGGCAGTGTCACATGTGCTTTTAAGAAACCTAACTTTGACAGAAAGGAAAATGTGACGTATGTGAAACTGAAGGAGGGAAATTGGTTAGGAGGTAGGAGGTTGTTTTAACAATTCTACGAAGGCCTAAGTTAAAGTCAGGGCAGTGGAGATAGATAAGACAAATCACAGAACTATAATGGAGGTAGAATCTTCACATTTATTCAGAACTAAAATGAAATAATCCTTTATATGCACACTTTCACAATATTTTCAAAAGAATCCAGAGGAAAAAATACAACAGATTGTTAACAAAAGAAAAAACTTGAGGAACAAAGAAGCAGTGCTTAAATTAGTTCCCCACTTCATACCTAAGAGACTATTATATTTGCCCTGGCTGGTATTGCTCATTGGTTGGGCATAGTCCCATGCACCGAAAGATTGCCAGTTTGATTCCTGGCCAGGGCATGTGCCTGGGTTTCGGGCTCCAACCCTGGTGGGAAGATTGCAGGCAGCAGATCGATGTGTTGCTCTAGTCTCTCTCTCTCTCTCCTCTCTCCTCTCTCTCTCCTCTCTCCTCTCTCTCTCTCTCTCTCTCTCTTTCTCTCTCTCTCTCTCCTATAAAAATGAATATAATTTTTTAAAAAGAAAAAAGAATATAATTTAACCAGACCTCCATTTTCTAAATGCAGAATTTAAGTTTACTTTCTTCTTCCAACCAATTTCCATTTCTATTTAATTCTCAATCTACTTTTGCATCACTTCCTTTTGCTTCCCACCTGGCTTTTACTCTTTGATGTGTACAGCATACATCAATGCAGAGGTCTTTATCTTTCTTACCCCCACTCCCAAGAATATCCCTATTTCAAAACATTAGCACCTATATCCTACCTAAACCACAAATGCTTTCTCAATGAATTAGGTTGCTCTGGCTATAAAGTAATAGGCAAGGGCAACTCACTGGATTTCTAACTTCTCAAGATTCCTGCCATACAGTACACTGTGATCATCTGTGGTCTTGTTCTTCTGTTTGTTATCTTTCCTACATACCTGAATCTCTCACCTCAGTGTTCCCATGGAAGATATTTTCTCTCTTGATTTTTATATCTACCTACTTTTTTGAGAACACTGGCTCCGAATCCTGGTGAGATAGCTGTATTATACTGCAGCAAGGATACCCACAAGCTTCAGAAAATGGGGCTAAAGTGCATTCTAACAAAGCAGCTTTTGTT